GGCAGGACCTAAGGCTTACACTTTCCACAAACTTTTGGACTTGTATTTGTTCTCCCTTTTAAAAAAATTAGCTTGTAGTTATAAATATTTATATGCCAAAGTGTATTAATGTATAAATGTGAGTTCTGTAAGTCATACCTACTCTCTCCACTGTGAACATACAGAACTCTCTACTATTAACTTGTAGGGAATTGGGTATACATAGGTATACGTTCTTTTAATACTTTTTTTTAAAACTTGAGCATATACTAAGTTACAAACAGCACCGAAAGAGTTAAACTGGGGTTATGAACAATTTCTGGTGTTTGCTGTTTTGGGTTTTTTGTTTGTTTGTTTGTTGTTGTTGTTTTTACTTAATGATTGAGAACTTTGTCCTATATTAGTAGATACAGGTATATCTCCTCATCATTTTACATGTGCGCACTAGTGAATTTGGGCATCATTTTAAAAACTTTGTGAATTGCATACATTTTCATACATTTGTTGAAATGGGACTTGTTTGAAACACACTTATGTGTAAATATCAGTTGAAATGTGGGCGATTTTACTAGTGTTCATGTATTACCCTGTTCTAGTAAATGGATGTATAGTCCTGAATTTTTTTGTGGTCTTTTGTGGTTTTGTCTTTTTCATTTTTCTCCCTTGATTCTGGTTGTTTTTGTCTCATTTCTTTTTTTACTCTTTAAATTTCCACTTCTTATAGTGTTAATGTCTTTTGCCTATTTGTCATGTATGAGTCTTTATCATTTGATATTGTGGTAACTGTACTGACATGATTGTGACTGGGAAATGTGGTCCCTCATTTTGTTTGCTGTATAGTCAACAGGTGTCAAAAACAGTGTCCCATGGATACACAATGTTGTTCTGTAGACTTCTAAAATAATTCAAGAGATATTTACACAGTATTCCCTCTGTGTCTCAGACTGTGCTAGCCACTGCAAAAAAAAGAAAAGAAAAAAAAAGCCTTCAAATTCTAAAATCCCTTTTGAAAGTTCTCATCTGTGAATCCACTCCATGTTACAAGGAGTGATTACTCCAAAAGAATGATTTAAACACACAACATATTCGAAAGCTTCTTTCAGAGTCTGTGGTCATATGCTTAAAAATGTGGGTAGATGGAGAGAAAGCTTGTGGAGAATAGAAGGCCAGAGAAGCATCCCCATGGTTTTACTCATTAGAATGTTTCAAAGGAGTGACCATACAGTTATTCATGAGCCATTAGAAAATGAGAAATTGTCTTTCCCCATCCTATAAATTTAAGAGCAACCTCAAGGTCTCAGCTCAGAGCAGCTAGAGGATGATCCCTGAGACCTTTTTCTAAATAAGTAAAACATACAGAAAATGCTTATAGTCTTTGACACTATGGTATGTACCAGATGTGGCCACTTATTGAAAAGTATGCATGATTATTCTCTGCAATATACTGAAATTAATAAACATTGTCCATTAATTTTTATGTGAATGTTTAGATTGGTTACAGGATAATTAATGCCTGTTATTTATTAAAAGTAGGGCCTTTCCATTTCAAGTCCTGTTGGCCTTTCTATCCAGGAAAGCTTAAGACTGACAGAATGGCTTTACTTACTGAATTAGAGTTTATTAAATTAGAAGTCAGTCACTGAAATGTGGCTTGTCTTTCCCACTGAAAGCTGGCAATACCAGTTAAGAACACATGGTTAGTTTTATCCAAAATGTAACTGTGGCTCTGGTGAAATGATATGTAGTAGCTGAGCCAAGAAGGCGCTTGCTCTTACTGTTCTACGCAGGAGGATTCCTCCTAGCATTATGCCTTCCGTACGCCGGCGTAAAAGTGCAGTTGAAGGTATGTCCACAGAATCCGTTAGAGTCCCTTTGGGATAGAGCTATCAGCAGCTTCATGTCTTGAATTTCTATAAGGCATGTTGTGTCCTTGACTAAAAAATGTTTTTCCCCATGTGTCTGATAAAGTAAACATCTGTGCCACTAAAGGCATAGTGCCAGGCACATCTGTGTCCTTAGACACTGCCGGTCAATTAAGGGCTGCCCTGGATAGTGATTGTCCTGCCACAAAAGTTCATTTGGTGTCTTTCACTTGCTATTTGAGGGGAATTTTCTGTCTGAGTAGTTGATCATGGATTTATGTGTTTCTTAAAATTTTATGACACTGATTGTGTTCTAATTGGTGACTTTGGGAAGGAGTTAAGTCTTCTGTTATTATGGAAGGTTGTTTGCATGCTCTGCTTCCTTCCCCGACAGTGAGCTCCCTGCAGTCAGAAATCGTCTCACCTTTGTGATTCCCAGAGAGTTGAAAAGACAAACCCAGAGTGTGTTGTTGTTGAATGGCTCACATAAAAAGAGTGGCAGGTGAGAAGAGTAAGGGAACTAAAGTGCTTTCAAATTTCCCCAGGATCCCAGGTCCCAATTACCTAGAATTCTTAGGAAAGTATGATACCCAAGAAGAGGTATTTTGGTTTCTTTTTTCCCCCAAGTTTGCAAGTCTGAGGTGGTCTAGAAAGGATTCAAAGCACACGGATTCCAAGCACGTAGATTTTAGTGACCTTTAGTTGCACCCATATTTCATGCTGTTAAGTATTTAAGAATTATTTCTCCTAGTCAGTGTATCTGTTCTATCCGAGGAGAGAATATCTCTTCAGTGAGAAGTGACATATCCTGGCAAGTTTCTGAGAAACTGTTGGCTCCACTGGATTCTAGGAAATAGAAGTTGTTTCCATGTCTAAATAAAATGTCAGATCTTATTAGTTGCCTCTAATTTGATGAACAAGATAGAGTTCCTTTGAGCTCCTTGTCATCTTCTGTGGGTGAGTGGTAAACAAAGCCCTGTTTTTCCCTCGTATAACAGTTTCCTGTTGAGACACTAAGAATCTCTTTTATTTCTGAAATATTTACATAGAAAAGTTTTATCCATAAACCTGACAATTTTAATTATAAATATTGGCATTATTTATAGTTTTCTCAAGAAAGCAAAGTATTTTTAAAAATTAGACAATTCTCAACCTAAAAAATAAACTTAATGGTAATATCTAATACATGCTTATTAGATAGAAAAAACCTACTTATAAAAACTATTAAAATCACTTATTATTCTGTCACAGGTGGGCACAGGTAACCAGGTTCTTGGTGATCATGGACAAAAAAATCGAACCAAACACACAAAGATTAAAGCAGAAAGCGAGAGAAAGCAGATTTATTAAGCCACACAGAACATGGGAGCAGGCCAACTCTGAGCAGAGAAGAGCAGGGCAGAACCTAACAGCCGTGAACTCAGGGGCTGGAGGGCTTTTATTCCTTTAGCGTGGGTCTCCCTGATTTCCTTGATTGGCTACCGGGAAGGGGGTCCCACAATGCTAATTTATTGTAATGCTATTATAATGAAGCAGGGGTCAGGTAGCATCTTCTGCACAGGTGCATTCCCGATTCACTAAGATTCAATGCTTTTCCAGAAAGTAGAAACTACCAGTCTTAGAACAGTGTCTCCGCCCTTTATCCATGTTCTTTATCTTAGCCCTGGGGCACCTCTGGAGTTTCCTCCTTCCTGTCTATCTCCTGCCTCAATTCTACCACTCAGGATGAAAGCATGTGAACATAAACATGTTGGTACATATGTATCCTACAAGGCATTTTCCCCCTCTTCAAATCGTGTGTGTTGGTTGCTTGTTTTACAGAATAAAACCAAACAATATGTACTTTTTCCTTGAACATCATTTTTAGTGGTTGCATATTATATTTTATAGATGCAGATGAACCTTACTTTATCAGGTAATCTTGTTGACAACCCCCAGATTTCTAGTGGCTGTCATTGCTAAATTATTTGACTTGAAAGTTTGTAAAGCCACCTTCTTAGATCAGTACTATAAATGGAAGTTCATTTCCTAAGCTAACTCCCCAAATCCCTTTTTTAAAATTATCTTTTATTGATTATGCTATTACAGTTGTACTAGCACCCCCCCCACAAAGCAGCTTCCCCCATTTCCTATGCTGTATTTTACCTCCCATGGCTATTCCGTAACTACCTATTTGTGCTTCTTAATCCCCTCATCCATTACCCCACAATCTCTGCCATCTGGGAACCCTCAAAATGCTCTTTGTATCCATGATTCTCTCTCTGTTCTTGTTTGCTTAGTTTTTTAGATTCAATTGTTAATATGTATTTAGTGCCATTTTATTATTCAGGTTTGATCTTCTTTTTCTTAAATAAGTCTCTTTAACATTCCGTATAATAATGGTCTTGTGATGATGAACTCTTTTAGTTTTTTCTTGTCTGGGGAGCTCTGTATCTGCTCTTAGTTTCTAAATGATATCTTTGCTGGGTAGAGCAATCTTGGCTGTAGGTGCAAAAAGCCTGCTCCAAGATACATCATAATTAAAATGCTTAAGGTTAAAGAGAAAGAGGATAAAGGATAAAGGTGAAGATAGTTTGTACTCTAGGCCTTACAGTTGTAGGTCAGTGAGGTCTGCCCTTCTGCTTTGGAACTGAGAAGATGCAGTTAGGCATTTTGACCACTATTTAGGTGTGTTTGAATTGTTCAATAAACTTTTCTGTTTATTAAAAGTACTGTGAATATTAATACAGATGAGGGAAGCAATGACAGGACTAGCAGGAGCAAACAAATTGCTTTGATTTTACTTTGGAACCGCATTCTGTGTTTGTTTGATTAGAGCAGAGGAATGGTAGGTTTTCTACCCTCATGGCAGTATTTTCTTAAGCTAATAATTCAATTATATGGACCCTTTTATCCCCTCAGTTTTAGAACTAGATAATGGCTAGTTGGGAAGGAAGTCAGTTTATGAATTTAGATCAGCTAGAGGCAGTTCACTTTGAATAATCCACATAGAAGAGTTAATTTAATGTCACTTTACCATTAGAGTACTCCTGCGTCATTGAAAGAACATGAACTGGGTAGGATCCGTGGAATATGCGAAGAAACGTGTTTTTGAAATTTCACATAAGAATGATTCCCTGGATTCCACCCCTTTGAGCGGCTCTCGTATTTCCTTTCCAGGTCCGGACCCTGTTTGTCAGTGGCCTCCCCCTGGATATCAAACCTCGGGAGCTCTATCTGCTTTTCAGACCATTTAAGGTACCTTTTCTATCTTTTAGAAATTGTAAAAGGAAACAGAAAGTGTGTGTACAAGCTTCTTGGGGTCTCTTTGGAGGAAGAAATAAAATGTTTGAGAAAGTACCCTGTGAAGTGATATTTGTAAAAGGTTAGTGCATGGGGATTTAACCACTCAGTTCTAGTTTACAGTCGCACTCAGGAAACACGGAAGCTGCCTTTTGCCCTCCCCAGAGCTAGGCCAGAGAAGTCTTTTCTCTTGCTCGTGGGGACATGTATCTGCTCCTTCCATGTAGAGCAGCCTTAGTGTCCCCTGCCAGCTGAGGGTGTTCTTCTAGGTACAGATCACCAAATGTACTATCAGTTATTGATTATGCATTTATATTTCAAATATTTCAAATGTAGTAATATAAGTCCTGCCCTATCCCTAGGAGATTATTAGTTGAAATAGTTCTGTTAGTACTATTCTTTGGAGAGATAATAGGTTAAATAGACTTGTATGAATTAAACTAGGAACCTAACACCATTATTTTTTTTCATGGGAAAAATATCCTACGTTGCAAATAAGGTAGAACAAAATTTCAAAGCATTGCTTGGCAAGAGCGGAATCTTTCCGGGTGCTTAGCGAGATATTTAATGCGGTGTGACTACTGAGATAAAACGGCTTTAGAGATGCTTCATGTATCTGGGATTGAAAACCTAACAGGAAGTCAGACTGAAGCTGAAATAAGTCTGCTGCCAAGGCACAACCTTGAGGCCAGCCTGTGAGGGCCGGAAAAGGCTAGGACTGGGCCAGCTCCGGGCTGGAGGCCTTGGTCCTCAAGGAGTGATCCTGGAGGGCAAGATAAACTCAGAGCCTGTGGCCTGAGCTGTTGTACAGGATGTGTCGGCCATTGATGCCAGCCGGGGCCACACTTATGATTAGGTGATGGACCATCTTGATTTTTGGTTGAAGATCCTCATCCCTGTTGAAGCAGGACTCCAACCATAGATGCAAGACAGGTTGAGGAATAGGATCTAGCTTCTTAGGGAGAAGGGATGAGGACATGACAGCTGGAAACAGCTGTGTAGGAAGGGACGGGGTGGGTGTCAAGGGGGCAGCCAGTTAAAACCAACAAAGATAAAATAGAGTCTAGGTTATGTGCCAAGAAGTCACCATGCAATGACATAAATCCTTTCGGACAGTCAGCCCCTTAATTCAGCAGTTTTTGACCTTTTTCATTTCATGGCACATGTAAACTAATTACTAAAATTCTGCAGCACACCAAAAAAATAAACCTTTTGTTAATATGACAAAAACAGGTATAATTTTGATTCATTCACACCGAATGGCTATTGTTATGTTGGCTGTTGTAATATTTTTAATTTGACAACCCTGAAGGAAAAGAAGTCAGTGCCCTGGACTAAACAGTCAGGGAGTGCGCGCTGCAGCGCAGCCACTGAAATCGCTGCCTCCACGCAACAGCAGTGATGACAGCACAGGGGAAACGGAGCTTAGATGGGAGGTCAGCTGAGAGGAAGTGGGGAAGAGAGGGAAGGAGTTGTGGGAAGACGGCACCAACTTCGCAGAGTTTCCTGAGTTTCTTCTGCAGGGTTGCAATTTTTACAATCCCTTTTGTAGGATGAGGACATTTTAACTTAATTGATGTTAATGGACAAAATACTGTTGTGTTCATATACGTGTAGAGAGAAAGTGATACAGCTAGCAGGCCCCTTTTATGAATGGTCTCACTGAATTCTCATCGCTGTCCCTTAAAACGGCTCGGTCTCCTTTAGTCAAATGAGGAAAATGAGACTTCAAGCAGTTGAATAAATTTTGCTTCAGTTTACCCACATAATAAATGGCAGGGCTGGGATTTGAACCCAAGAGGTCTGACTGTGCCATCCCTGTTCTGAACTATTTTGTGATACTAATTCTCTTCTTGTGACTTGAGAGCACAATATATTCCTGCCAGTGGTGTTTTACTTGAGTGAAAAATCTATTTGTCCTTTGCTGCTGAGGCCTTCGGGGTGTTTAAAGCTCTAGGTTTTTCAGAGAAAGCACCTTGAAAAAGGAAGAAGCAAGGCTGCAAATCACGACCTCTTTGGCCAGAAGAGCTCAAGGCCTGTGAGGTAAAATGTTTACAGTAGCTAATTGGTCACATAGTTCTCTGCTGGGAAGATATGAAGATGAATCAATCCCAACATTCTGCCCAGAGATGCTACGTTGAAGTCAGGACCCTGCTACATTCCTAACAACCCTCTTTTAATTAAAGTCCCTGGAGGTTGACCCTAGTCCACAAATCTGTCTCTACTCTGATATGTGTGGTGGTCAATCATGTCAAGTGGTGTTTTTCCCCCGTCTCTGTCATCCCTCAGTGCAAGCCACCAACCATTGATTATTTTCAGAAATAAACACAGTTTGTTATCCTTATGCTGAGGAGCCAGGAAGAGTGAAGGGAGAGATTGAAAGGGAGTGTTTCTGTCTTCCTTGAGGATGAGCTGGAATAAAAACCCAGTGGGGAATTTTTGCATGTCCCAATCAGAATACCAACATGAAGACAGGCTGATTTAATAAATAAGCAAAACAACTCAACAAGATTCAACATACTGCCTGCTTAAACTTTCTTGGCAGTTTTGAAATTTTGATTAGTAAGTTTTACCCAGTACATTCTTTTTTAAAAAATAATTTGTTTTTCAATTACAGTTCATGTACAATGTTCTATTAGTTTCCAGGTGTACAACTGTGTTGATTAGACATTTGTATAACTTACAAAGTGATCACCAAGGTATAGTGCATTGTTAATGTTTCATTGTTGTTATTTTATAGGAAATACATGACCAAGTTATCACATACTCTTACCTTCCTATTTTACTAAATTTACCCCTTCCCTCCCATAATTCTATTGAATAAAGATCTGCTGTTGACAGAGATGCCAGTTGTCCTACCATTGCATAATTTCTTGAAAAAAAATAAGGAAAAGAAACATAAAAATGCATGAATTTCAGGGCTTGATTTCTTTTAGGCTCCAATTATGCAAACATGGGCATCTATAAAGAGAGGTGTGTGACTTTGTGTGTAATTTGCTTTCCCAGTGAATTTAAGAGGCTTTGTGAAAGAGGTAGTCAATAGCCATAAAGGACTCATTTTTCCTTGAGAAGGTGCTATTATAATTGCTTTTTCCCCCAGCACTCTCTTTTTTGGTCTAAATTTGATTCTTCTTTTATTTTCAGGGCTATGAGGGTTCTCTTATAAAGCTCACATCTAAGCAGGTAAGAATTTTAAACTTGCATATATATAAATGGTCACTTCCACAAAAAGTTTGAATTGACTTTCTTCAGGAATGTTACTAGAGCTAGCATTCTTTTTTCCCATTAGGATTTTATTTTGTTGTTGTATTAAAAATAAGAGTGAGGTCAGTTAGGAATTAGCATAGGAAAATGGTTCGTAATTCCATAGTCTCCAGCTAGGGTATCTGGGACTAGCCCCAAGGAAGGTAAATGTAATGCAGCCAGCATAGTTATATTGGGATTTGTCTGTGTATTCAAAAGTAATTATTATCCAAATTCACATTTATTCCCAATTCTTTCCTGTTTTCTTTTTTTAATAAGGTTAAACAGGCAGACTCTCACAATCGGTATGAGTATCTGGTGGTGAAGAATCATGTTCCCTCTCAAACCCTGAATGGAGGTGGTAATCAGTGACCCTGATAGTTCCTGCAAGCTTCTGGAACATTTTCAGCTGTATGCTTTTTCCCCTCTAGTGCTGAACACTCAGCATGCTCACCTCCCAATCACGTTCGTCACTCCGTGAGGTATTCTCTGGTTCATCAGGAACAAGCTATGTTGCTAGTATCCTTCTGGACTGAGAGATCATTGAGTCCAAAGGCATTATGACCCTGTTCTCTTTAGTTGGAACAGTATGGTTTACACACCTATTTAAACGCAGGACTTTTGAAAGGCATCCCTTGGGATTTGCAATGGAAATGTTCATTTTGTAATTTTGATCGTGCAGTGAGAGTACAGGGCTTTTATCATTGTGTCATTGTATTCTTTGCACTGACAGTTACCAAAAGGTGATTCAGTTCTCTTTCTACATTAAAAGATAAAGAAGCTGAGGTACACTGAAATCCATTTGTGAGAGTAGAGTCTCTCAACCCAAGTGTTTCTCTATTCCCTTGTTCACTGCTGCTCACCTTCCAACCCCTTCTAGGTTATTTTTATGATTCTCTAAATCCTCAGCTGTGCCCTTGAAGAACCATCCTCACAATCCCTTTGATTCATGTTAGAAATTTAGCTAAACCACTGACTCATGATTCTTCTGGACTGGCTTTCTTATTTCTACACAAATGCCTGCGGTCATTTCTTTATCTTAGCTCTTCAGTTTGATATCACCTTTGACCCAGAAAAATAGCCTCTGATTTTCTTCCTTCATATTTGTTTTTCTTTCCTCAGCCCGTAGGTTTTGTCAGTTTTGACAGTCGCTCAGAAGCAGAAGCTGCTAAGAATGCTTTGAATGTGAGTACTCCTGTAATCGCTGGGCGGGGGGCGGGTGCATTCCTTATGAGGTGGTGGGATGTTGCAGGAGCTCAAATGGAAGGAATGTGACTTCACAGTCAAACAGGGAAGGGCCCATCAGTTTAATGAGCCCTCGAAAGAGATATTTCTTAGAATTGTGGTCAGATGTGCAAACTACTAAGTAACACTTGCTCTTCTCTAGCTTTAGCTATCATGCTCAAAATACCTGATGATGTGAGTCTTATTTTAATGCAGACCAATCATATCCCTCAATGGTGTACAGCTTAGTTTGGCCATCATTATACTTTTAGGGCTAAACCTAAGCCAAGAAGAGATAAAAGTCTTGGCTTTTCTTATTTCATAAGGTTTTTATTTTAGGTTGTGGCTTTTTGTTTCTTAAAGAAGTCATTGTTGTTATTCTGATTGATTAAAAAAAACTTGCATATATGGCTTTCTGAAAAGACATTTTGCATTGTGATACAGTCAGTAAGAGTAAACTATAATTGAATAGTATAGCTGTATTGGGTTTGCAGGCATCTTGTCTGCCATATACTGTGAAGCTTTTACCCTTTTTACTTTAGTAAATATTTTTCCTCTTTGGAATGCGGAAAAACAAAACAACTTAAGGGGAACCAAGCCGAGATAAGGTGGAAAGAAGCCAATTTAGTTGAGCTCCAAATGCTAAGAGCTGATCCTCAGGTGAGGATTCTCAGTGAAGAGCCTGGCTCCATCCTGCTCCAAGCAAATGGGCTAAACAGCTGTGAATAAGGGTTGATTAATGCAGCCAAAAGTGTTCAGGATGCTTCTTGAAGGAAAGTGGCCACTTGACTGTTTGCGCTTTGGGTGTTATGGTATAAGCTTCCGGGAACTTGTCACTGGCCTTACAGGTACACCTGCCAGTTGCTCCTCTGAGCTCCTGGATGCTAAGGAGGGGCTGTAGAACAGACCTGACATCCCAATGACTTGGTGGCCCAAGGGAATGAGGTCAACTTTATGGTTTCATTGTGACAATCTTGAGAGGTTTTCGGGCTTTGGAAAAAAATGTATATATTTTCATAAGAAATAATTTGCTTGTTATTGTTGGTTTTTCATGAAAACATACAGGAAAATCGTAGGAATGCAAGAGCTTCAGAAAGCTCTGGATTTTTCTGGATTTGGATAAATGACCTTCTGATGAGAATAACTGCTTACTTACACTGTTCCTCTCCCAGAGAATGTAAACCAATTATTTATTGAATATCAGTGATATACGCTGAAGCAAATTATATAGTTGAATATTTTGGCATAAAAATTATTTCATGATATTTGCATTACATGGATACAACCAGAATTTTCTCAAAAAGAAAAAAAGAAAACCCAAGAAATTTTAAACTCAAAAATTAAACCACAATTTCTATTTAGACAGTGTTTTCTTTCATTCTAATCAGGTGACATCTTAGTAAACGTAAAAATGTTTTGGGTCCTATAAAGTTATGTTAGGTGACGTGTTCACCAGGTTCTTTTCATTTTTCTTATATAGGAAGTAACAGTAGTTGAAACTTGTTTACAGAATGGATTGCCTTACTTTACCTTGCTGTGTATAAAAAGATGTCACTGACCCTCTGTCTGAAGAACATTAGGCTTTTCTCATCTTAAGGTGGCATTCCCTTATGAGCTAGGATATTAAATGGTCATAGTCATAAGCTGGGTTTTCTTACCTTACTAAGTAGAGCATAGCAATATAATTTCAAATTTTCTTGGTGCCTAAGGGTGATATCACTACAAATGTCAGTTATTGAGCTATGCTATAACATGACGATAGAGACGTTTAAGCCCATCCTGATGCCAGGATGGCCCCAGATCATTGGGCTTTCTTGACCTGAGGTCTGGTTTTAGGCTCCTCTTGTGCTCAACTCTTCCCTTCTTTTTCACTCACAGCAAGGCTTTCTTGAATATTATCCTCTCTCTTAATCATTAATTCTGTTTGTTGCTCATGTATTAGTATTTTGGGAAGAACTCCCAGTGAACCATGTCTAATTCTGTCATGTTCTGTGGACGTAAGCGTAACTCTTAATATTTACCTGAGGAGTATTGAATGTGAGCTTTCTTCTGCTCAGAGAATGACTTGTGAGTATAGGGCATTTAATACACTCCTGGCTGATCTTTCTCAAAGTTCTTAACTTCTATATGTGGAATATTAGAGGCCTTTGTACCTTAGAGATCATCCTATTATCTCTATTATCAGGGACCTGAGGCCTAGAGAGAATGAATGCTGCAAATAGAAGTAGGCCCAGAAAAAGAGGACCCAGGAGGGCAGCATAAGTAAACGTAGTTTGCCTCCTTGAACCACCACATCAAAATTACAACTAGTCTGTAGAAAAACTCTCATTCAGAACTACCAGAAATTGAGCTGAGTGGAAGTCCTGCAGCTACAGAATGAAAGAAGAAACCACATTGAGACTGCTAGGAGGAGTGGAGACATAGAACAGGCTGGTCCCACACCCACATGTGGCAGATAAAAATTGGGAGGGATATCTTAGGAGTAAGGGGTCCCAGCCCCACAGCAGGCTCCTCAGCCCAGGGTTCCATTTCCAGGAAGATAAATCCCCATAATTCTGGCTGTAAAAACCAGTGGGGATTGAGCCTGTAGTTTGAGGCTGTGATACAAAAACTTGCAGTATCCCAGGCAGTTCTGTGCATAGACTTACTTGGACTTACTCTTTTAGAGCTGTAGAACTGGGACAGCAGATTGAAAAGCATCAGAGACATATAGGGAGGAACTAAATTGTCCGGCATTAGGGCAAGAGCTGGGGAGTTGCTTTCTCCCAGACAGAAGTGCTAGCAGAGGCCATTGTACCTTTTTTGAGCACTCCCTCCACAAAACCAGCAGGCAGGTACCATATCTGAGACTCCAACCTGGCTCACACTGTTTGTCCTACTCTGGTGATTCCTCAAGACCCTGCCACACCCATCTTTCAGACCCATCCAAGCTATTTCCAGTGGCTTTTCCATATGAATGTCTTGTCTTGGCCCATGCTTCAGGTTTTCCTAAATTCTCTCAAACAAGCAGCATCTGGCTTCAGCAAGCTCTGTACCTCTCCCTAAGTTGATCTAGGCCCAGCACCAGCAGCAGCTGGACTTGGTTCACAGTGTGGCCCCTTTTGGACACCTGCAAGCCCAACACAAGTAGCAGCCATCTGCAGCTCGCATTGTAGGTAATGCTGTGTGACCCTGGACAGAACACAGGCAGTGGTTGACTTTGGATGTGCCAACAGCAGTCAAGGCTCAACTACTACTAGAGGGTGTACACAGCCCACAAAGTGGGCCCACCTTGAGTACCCAGCTTGGGTAATAGGGGAGGCTGTGCCACGACCCTGCAGAACACCTACTACATTAAGCTACTTTGTCAAGCCTGGGAGGTGTAGTAGCCCTACCTAATACATAAAAACAAATAAAAGGAGGCTGCCAAAATGAGGAGACAAAGATACATGGCCCAAATAAAAGAAGAGAACAGAACTCCAGAAAAAGAACTAATCAAAATGGAGATAAGCATCTATCAGATGCAGAGTTCAAAACACTGGTCATAAGGATGTTCAAGGATTTTAGTGAGAATCTCAACAGCATTAAAAAAAGAAATTGAGAAATTAAGGATTCACTAATTGAAGTAAAGAACAATTTACAGGGAAACAATAGCAGAGTGGATGAAGCTGAGAATCAAATGAACAATTTGGAACATAAAGAAGCAAAAAATAACCAATCAGAACAGCAAGAAGAAAAAAGAATCCAAAAAAATGAGATTAATGTAAGGAACATCTAGGACAACTTCAGGCACAGCAACATTTGTATCACAGGGGTGCCAAAAGGAGAAGACAAAGAGCAAGAAATTGTAAACCACTTTGGGAAAAAAAAAATGAAAAAAACCTGTCTAACTTGGAGAAGGAAATAGACACACCAGTCCAGGAAGCACAGAGAGTCTCAAAGAAGATGGACCCAAAGAGGCCCACTCTAAGGCACACTATAGTTAAAACGCCAAAGGTTAAATACAAAGAGAGAATCTTGAAAGCAGCAAGAGAAAAGCAGTTACCTACAAGGGAGCTCCCATAAAACTGTCAGCTGATTTCTCAAAAAAAAAAAAAACAATCAAAAACCAAAAACAAACCAAAAAAAAAAAAAAAAACCAAAACTTCGCAGACTAGAAGGAATTGGCAAGAAATATTCAAAGGCCTGAAAAACAGGGACCTACAACCAATATTACTCTACCCAGCAAAGCTATCATTTAGAATCAAAGAACAGATAAACAGTTTCCCAGACAAGAAAAAGCTAAAGGAGTTCATGACCACCAAACCAGTATTATATGAAAAATTAGAGTCTTCTTTAAGAAGAGGAAGATCAAGACGATGTACAATAATGTGGCAATAAATACATATCTATCAACAATTGAACCTAAAAAAAAAACACCCCAAAACCCAGCAGAACTGAAACAGCATCATAGATACAGAGAATGTTTTGAAGGTTGACAGAAGGGAGGGGTGTTAGGAAGATGGGAAAAATGGTGAAGGGGTTAAGAAGTACAAATTGGTAGTTACAGAATAGTCATGGGGATATAAGGTACAGCATAGGGAATAGAATGGCCAAAGGACATATATGCAGGACCCATGGGTGTGGGCAGTGGTGTGGGAATTGCCTGCAGGAGTGGGGGTGGCTGCGTGGAGGGGGGAAGTAGGGATATTTGGGACAACTGTAATGCCATGAACAATAAAATACAATTTTTTAAAAATAGGCTTCTTGCATCTTCATCCTGGTGGCAATGACAGACTATTTAAATCATGTTATCCAGGACAAATGGCCATGGTGTGTGACTATGGAGCTGGATTTCTTCTCTCTGGAGAAAAAAATGGGCCCATTTAAGATAATACACTTTATCATGAAGCTGACACATCTTCTCTACAGCCCAATATATTATGCTTTTTTTCAGGGTCATCTTTTCTAATTAGTGAATTAAAAACATATGATGCTCATGG